CCCCCCCCTCCTCACGGGCTCGGTTTCCTCTGCATCCCGCCCAGGGAACAGGTGTCCGCGTGTGTTTCCATCCTGGAGAGGCTCCTGCAGGCCCTGGACCCCCTGTACGTGATCCAGAACCTCCGGGAAGAACTCCAGAAAGGGCTTTGTCACCCCGAGGACTCCGTGAAGATCCTCACCATAGCCCAGGTACGGAGGTTCCTCCAGGTCTGTGTGGAGCCAGGCTGGGTCAGTTCTCAGCTCTTACTGCTGTTTCATGCCTTAATTTGTGATAAAAGCTCCACAGCACTGCAAGAAATACGCTCTTACACACACACACATTTTAGGATAATCTGTGCTTAAACACACTGTGCAGTGTGTTTATGATATTCAGTTATAATGTATAAAGCTGTCCTGTCAAAAGTAACTTGTAAATGAAACTTATGGCTAAAGCTTTCCCGACCAGCACCACCAGCAGGTGCTGGAAGAATTAAAAGCAGCAACATTTTTATATTCAGGATACTTTAAGCAATATTGTGTAAACAGCAAAGAGGGAGAGGCTGTGGCAACTTGACACTTCTTGCAGTGATTTAAAAGACTCTTTTCTGTGGTTTGGAAACATTGTGGTTTGGAATGGGCTTCTGGAAGTTTCACGCTCAGCTAAAAGCAGCTGCTCAGGGTGTTGGCCAGTGGAATTTGGATCCCAGAATGGTGATTGTGGCTGTCTGTGGAGCTCTTCCAGTGCTTGAATGCCCTCACAGTGGAAAAAGCTCGCTTTAACGTCATTTTCTCTAATTATTTGCTCAGGTTGGGAGGATTGTTGAAGACCCAGGTGCTGTCACAGAAATTCTCAACAGCCCGGAGCTGTTACGGCAAATAATAAACTGCATCGGGGGAGAGAAGATTGCAGTGGCCAAGGAGGTGAGCTGGGCTTTGGTGTTAATTCCTCTGCACAAACCACCTTTTCCATGTGTCCAAGATGAAGAGCTTCTGCCCTTCCCTGAGGGAAAGAGAGCTCGTGGTGCTTGAAAGATGTTACAAGAAATTGCTTATTTGTGACAGAAAATTTACCCAGAACTGTCATCTTCCAGTAGATGTTGGCGCCAAAGTGAACTTGTAAATCAGAATTTGATGCCAGACACTTGGATGACAATAACCACAACTAGCTCTCATCAACAAAAACGAGTTGTAATTAAAATTAATGTGCAACTAGACTTAATAAGTTAATAAAGAACATAAGCCTGATAATCTTGGATTTTTTTTTTAATTGTTTTTTTTTTTAATACCAAGCTCCTGTTTTTTGCTTCCAGGCCATCAAATCCCTGTCCAGAATAGCCCAGACACAAGAAGGTCTGGAGGCTTTGTTTGAGAGCAGTTTGTTGAGTGACCTGAAGAATGTCATGGCCACGAGTGACATCGTTCGGTACCGAGTGTACGAGGTGGGGCTGCAGTTCCCTGGGGGGTCTGAGGCACAGCCTGGGCTTTATGGCTCTTAAATCAACATTTGTCACTGCCTTTGTGAACTTTCTGAAAGGAAGATTCAGATGGCTGCTGTGGTCTCTTAACCTCTGCATGTGAAGCGCTGCTGAAAGTTCTGGAGGGGGAAGAGATGAGAGAGATGCCAAGTGTGTCAGTTTAGAGGTGGATGGTTAAGAAGAAATGACACAATTTAGCCATTCTAGAGCTTAATGGGAATTGCAGAGGGAAAGTTGGCTGTGAATGGAAATAAATGTGCTGTAAATTTGGGACTCCTTACAAACATATTTCAGGCAAACCTTTGAGTTAATGAAGAAAACATCATAAAATTCTCTATTTGATATATTCTCTATTTGATAATCAGCATTATAAGGTGTATTTGATTGTTACTGTGAATTGTTATCATTAGAATGTTTTTATAAACCATCCTTTTTTGTTTTTTTTTTTTTAGTTAATTGTGGAGATTTCTTCAGTGTCAGCAGAGTCCCTGAATTACTGTGCAAACAGTGGGTTAATATCTGAGTTAATTGGGGAGCTCACTGGAGAGGATGTGCTGGTCAGGTATGCTGGGCTTGGTAAAACTCTGATATTCAGTCTTAAAATAACACTCTGTGAACACATTTGTGTGTGGGTTTTGTGAAACCCTTTTCAGGAAAACGCCTTATCTGCCTCTTCTTAAACCTCTTTGAGTGTAAAATACTTTATACATTAATTTGAGAGCTGAGGTGAAGCTTCCCCAGTGTGATGTGATAATTGATTGGATGTAGTACAAACACTTTGAATTCTTTCCTGCACCTCAAGTAAGAGCTGAGTGAGCTTGGAGGAGTGTTTGACAATTGGGGCGATTTCTGTTTTGGTTTTTTGTTTGGATTTTGTCTTACAGGTATGTTTTTTTTCTTTGTCTTAATCACTGAATACTTCAAAACCCCTCTAAACCAAGCCAAACTAAGTGTTTGTGTGTTCCAGAGCCACCTGTATAGAGATGGTGACCTCGCTGGCCCACACCCCCCAGGGCCGGCAGTACCTGGCTCAACAGGGAGTGATTGACAAAATCTCAAACATCATCCTTGGAGCAGAGTCTGATCCTTTCTCCAGCTTCTATTTGCCAGGTAACATCATGCACTTCTTGTTTACAGGCTTTGCTGCCTGCTTTAGTTAATGAGTCGAGTTGTTAAACCTCTCTTTTGAAAGCTCATGTGAATTTTTGAATATTAGATTGGATATAGAAAGAGTTCAATATATAAAATATTGGATATATATAAAAAATGCTGAAGGGCAAGACTGACACATGAATAATATTCCTCATTAATAAAGGTAGTACAGGTAAGTCCTGTACCTTTTGAAGTTTGTGTTATTGTAGAATTTTTTTAGGAATGTAAAGGTTGTGAATTAAGGAACTGACAAAATCTTGGCTTTTTCTTTAGTTCTGTCTTTACACACTATTTGGACTGATAATACAAATTTAGCAACAAAACAATCCCACATTTAGTTTTGTCATTGCTGAAGTTATTGTTTCTCCCCTCAGTGCTTTATTTTGGTCTTTGTTTTCTCAGGATTTGTGAAGTTTTTTGGGAATCTGGCAGTTGTAGACAGTCCCCAGCAGATCTGTGAGCGATACCCTGTCTTCATGGAAAAAGTCTTTGAAATGGCAGAAAGTCAGGATCCAACCATGATTGGAGTGGCTGTGGACACCCTGGGAATCCTGGGATCAAATGTGGAAGGCAAACAGGTTTTACAGAAAACTAGTTAGTACCTTTTTTCTCTAATAAAACTTTCTCAGTGTGATACAAGAACAGATTGATTTGGTGTAAAAGGAATTGGAAAATGTATTTACCTAATAAATACATTTCTAATGGGACTGAGGGGTAACTCTGTACTCCTGTACAGGTCTGACTCAATTAACTAGAACCACTTTTCTTTTGTTTTGAAAGGAAGTAGGTTCCAAAGCCTGTTGAGCAAAATAGGGCACCAGGCCAAGAATGCCCCCACGGAGCTACGGCTGCGGTGCTTGGATGCCATTTCATCTCTTCTTTACTTGCCTGTAAGTTGGTGCTTGTTTGTTCTTTTTTTCCTTTAAATCTACAAGAAGGAAATTGTTATTATACCTGAGTAATTGTGAGAAGATCTTCTGAAGCCTCTGGCTTAGGTAGAAGTGGTGCTCTCTAGTAATCTGAGCCACTGATTTTGCTGTTTAGAAATTCCCTGATTCGTTTGCTCAAGGGTTGACTTTGTAAGAAACCAGGTGTTGTGAAATGTTTATAAAGTATGAAGTCAAGACTTCATTGACAAGGGAATGAGAATAAACAGGTTAATATCCTTGTACTTAAAGGGATGGTGGCAACTGCTCTAATCCCTGTGTGTGTTGCTTAGATCCAGCCATCTGGGTTTAATGGTGGAGCTCTACAGGAGTGAGGAAACCATTTGAACATACACTGAAAACCTGAAAGCTTTTCCTAATCCTAATCAAACTCTTTTGGTTTTGGGTGTGATTTGTGCAGCCAGAGCAGCAGACAGAAGACCTTTTAAGGATGACAGAATCCTGGTTCACATCCCTGTCCAGCCAGCCCCTGGAACTCTTCAGGAGCATCAGCACTCAGCCATTCCCTGACCTCCACTGTGGGGCTTTACGAGTGTTCACTGTAAGTACCTTTTGCTTTTAAAGATCAGGGAGTGAATTATGTTGCCCTTCAGTCTCAGATTTATCGATTTTTTTTAAAGTTAATGCCCCAGAATTCTTGCTGAAACCCAGAAATGGTCAGAAATAGGCCTTTTTCCCTGTGCCCCACTTGCATTCCCCGTTTAAAGAAGGCAGCAGACGTGTCATGTCTGTAATGTCTCCAGTAAATTGGAGAGGGTTAAAAAAGGCAACAGCTGTGCTCCAGGGTGCTGCCTCCATCCCAGAGGCACTGCTGTGATAATTCCCTTCAAACTTTGAAGATCAGCACTGAGCTGTGCTTGTTGTGCAGTGTTAGACCCTGCTGCTTGATTTGAGTTGTGGAACCACTGCGTGCAACGAGTATCTCATTTCATTTCTCCTGTTCCTTGGCTGTTTGCCGAAGAACCTACTGTGTAACTGCTCTTTGGGGGATTAAAATGAGATGTTTTCCATCTCCCACACCTCTTCCTGTTTTTAGGCCATTGCAAATCAACCGTGGGCCCAGAAGCTGATGCTGCACAGCCCGGGGTTTGTGGAGTACGTTGTGGACAGATCTGTGGAGCCTGACAAAGCTTCCAAGGATGCTAAATACGAACTGGTGAAGGCCCTGGTAAACTCCAAAACAATTGCAGAGATCTTTGGGAATCAGTATTACCTGAGGCTCAGGGCTTACCTGCAGGAGGGCCCTTACTACGTCAAGGCAGTTTCTACCACAGCTGTGGAAGGAGCAGAATAATGTCACTGGTGTCTTGCAAAATGTGTTCCTGAAACAGGGGTTGAGGTACAAGGTGTAAAGACTCTCCACTCTGGGGTGTCTTTAGGTTGTCTCTTTAAAGGAATGTGAGGATATTTTGACTCTGTTTGAAATGAGTCATGAGAGCAAATTAAAACCTATTCGATGTTTCCCCATAAATGTCACGGCAGAAGTTCCCTGTGTGCTGTCGTGAGACAACCCAGGTAAGCACTTCCCAACTGCTGCACTTCCCAACTACTGACTGGGTTTGATTTTGCAGAATTTGTTGGTGGCTGGTTAAATTGTTGTTGGATTTGGAGTTTCTATCGTGTTTTCTCAGTAGGTTCCAGTTCAGTTAAAAAAGGCAAAAACCAAACACCAAAACACCTTGAGGTTTGTAACCTCAGATGCTGCCATAGTTTATCTTTTTTTTTTTAAATAATTCTTTTTTTATATCTGCCAAAATTGGCACTTGCATGGAACACACTCTTTACCCTGTCAGAATCCTGTTGCTGAGAATAAGCCACACTCTGTCCACATGAGGGAGTATGAACTGGATTCTCTTCTGTTCTCAACCTGCTGGATGTGAGTCTTGCTTGAATAAATAACCCTAAATATTGTTTACATCTTATGCTGGGATTTAAAAAACAAACCTTGTAGCCCTTCTGGAAACAAATCAATGCTGTAGTGGATCAAACCAAACTGGAGCTTTGTCTCCCTTGGCTGCAACGTGGTGTGGCAGCTCAGTTTAGTGGCTCAAAAGGAGCCTGAGCTGTAGCACTACAAAGCTACTTCAGAACCAAATCTTTAATTGTTTATACCGTTTTTTAACAGAGATGAATTTTTTTTTAGTGTTATTTAAAGAAATGTATGATTTTAGTTGCCCGAGTTAAAGGGGTAAGAACATGAAACTTTTGTGTTTGAGGGTGTGAATGAACCAGGAGGATGGAAATGTACCTTAGGAAGCTGGAATCTTCTTTTGAAGGTGTCAGATAACTGTGGGAGAGAATCAAGATGTGTCTTTGTCCATAAACAGAGACCACAGTGTACTTTATATCAAATATATTATTTTTGTTGAGGACATATTTGAGGAATAGCTGAGGGGGGAGCATAATGAACCATGGAATTACTGCTTTGGGGCTTGTTGTAGTGATGTGTCAGTCAGGGATGACTCTGGCAATGCTCACCCCATGTCCCTGTGCTGCCAGGGAAGCAGGAGGATCCAGTCATGCAGGAACTCTCTCCTTGCATGTGGGAGGTGGAGGTGCAGCTGCTATTGCCAAAAATCGCTGCCAAGGAGTGCAAGTGGGCTCAGAGGAGCTGGGGAGGATCCCTTCCTGTTTGCTGAGTGTCTGAGAGGAGTGATCTGCCTTGCTGCTCCAAGATGGACAAAAGTTGTCCTCCTCCATGACACTGCTGCTGCTTTCACCCCAAATGTGCCCCAGAAATATCTGCTGGTGAGAAATGTACCACAGTGTCTTGTTTGTAAATAGAGAACGTGGAGCTTCACGAGTCCTGCATCCAGAAAACAAACATCAAAGCACTGACAAGGAAATGAAAAGAGTATAGAAGTCCTTACTTTGCACTTGTTTTGGGCAGTTCAACTTTGTTGTTTTAGGTGGCTTTGTGTGCTGGTCGCTCTGTATGAGCCATATGCTACAAACCTCAGTAAAAGAAATCAATATATAAACCTTTTCTGCAATTCATGAGTCTCTTCCATGTGTGTTTTCAGCTGCTGCTTTTGAAGGCTACTCTGTGTGCTCAGTCTTTAGCATCTGCTTTGCATAGTACATTTGCCAAAGACAATATTTTAGAATAGGCAGAGATGCCAAACAAGGGGATTTTTTTTATGTATGCACATATGCTTTGTTTTATTGAGCTTGGAGCTCAACATTGATCAATTGATCACACACTTCCCCCTTATTATTCACTTGCAGTTCCCTGCCCATGCTGTACATTGCCATCTGGGTTACATGCTGCTGTGTCTGATATAAATGGAAAATATAAGTGTCTCTGTCATCCCCTCTTTAAAGTAACAGGTGGAGATAATGGAGGAAAAACCAGAAATGGAATGCTGGAGAAGGAGAATTGAGGTAACACGCTAAACTTTTAGTTTAAAGAACAAAACAAACCCACACAGAAAACCCCAAACCAAAACTCAACATTTGGCCAAAGTTAACAAGCAGAATAACTTGGTATTTCAGAATTGTGGGTCCTTTGGAACACACCTCCAAGTCCTTTAATCCCAGTGGGAAGAGTAGCTGGGGCTGTCAGAGGTACATGGGTGTCTCACAGTTGTAGGACAGACCTGACCAGCTGGTCCTGCTGCTGAAAGAGTGGACATGGAAGAGTTTATCTGGAGGAGGGAGGTGTGGATGGGTTTTGTGTTCTGGGACTTGTTCCTGCTTTGGGGAATTTTTCCATTTTTAATAATGTTGGTGTTACCAGTTTGCTGTTCTGACCTTGCTGCTGGTGCTGTTCTCCAGTGTGCTTCTGTGTCCTGGAGCTGCCTTGTCAGTGTGTCTCTGATGCCATGACTGACAGAAATACAACATTCTTTAACAGGCAAGTTGGATTTCTTGCCTGGAATCTCCCTGAGCCTTTTCCATGCTGACTCAGTGTCTGTTCCTCTCCCTTTCCCTACTGCTGTAAACCAGCCTGCTCAGATGCAGCTCCTTCTGTGAGTGGAAAGCTTCCCCTTTGGTACAAAATTCTTTGGAAGTCGGTGATGCTTCATTTGGATAAAAAGTGGAGAAGGTGTTTTGAGGACTCAGAAGTCTGAAAAACACTGGAGATAGACAGTTTCTTGGAATACTCTACTTATATGCATGCACTTGTAGGTACTTACACAGAGTACATCCAGTTTTGCTGCTGTCACACACTGTAGCTCTGGGAATTCATTTGCTGTTGAAGGGAGGAGACCTAACTTTGAGAGGGCATCATTACTGCTGAATGTTACAGGATAAAGCAGCTGCCAAAAGAAAATTCAGCCTTTCTTTGCCAAAGCTAAACCTTAATTGACAAAATGAAGAACCTCATTTTTTATTCTATCCAAGTTGAACTGCTTGAACTTGTCAATGTAGGTCAGAACCCTGCAGGACACCAGGCTGTAGTAGGTTTCCAGCAAGGAACAATCTTCCCCACTGCTTGTTTCCTCCCAGGCTTTAAATAGCTCGTCCTCCTTCACGTTGGAAGAGGTGAAGATGAATTTATAGCAGCATCGATTGTAGCTGATGTGCTTCCCCCCGGAAAAGCGGGAGCTGTGCGTGGGAGTGATCCCAGCTTTCTTAGCACAGATTCCCACAAAAACATCTGGGGGCACTGACAGTGGCACCTCCTTGGCAGCCACGTAAACCTTGCGGGCGACGTCCTGGGATATGACGAAGGCGCTGCCGTGGCAGAAATCCGGGTAAAACTCCTCGGGATACTGATGGGTGGGAACGAAGGCAGGGCTTTGGGGGTCCCTGTCAGGCACTCCCTGATGAACAACCCTCCCAAGGTAGATGTCCTCTAGTTGTGTTAAGCTCAGCAGGTACCCAGCCAGGCTTGGAACACCCACAAACACGTCCTCGTCTGCTTCGAGGATAAATCTCGCCCGGGGACAGAAAGTCACCGCCCACTCCACGCTCAGCAGCATCTTCTGTGTCTGTGTCTGCGGGGAATCGATGAAAGCACCTTCAATAATGTCCCTGTGCTTGTGAGCCTCTTCACTGATCTCCAGCTGGGTGCTTTCTGAAGCTGCCTTTCCTACAGCAAACAGAGTGAGGACGGTGTAACCTCTGGTGTCTGTCGCGTTGCCCCACGTCTGCCTGATCGTGTCGCGCCTTGTCCTGTTTTCTGGGCTGCTGTGGACGAGGATGAGCAAAAACAGCTCTTGGTCTGAGCATGTCACTGCACTGCTGACAGTGTGAGAGAGGTTGGCCTTTAGGGGACCCATGTCCAGCTTCCTGGCCCTCTCCCTGATCTCCAGAGTCTTTGCATCGGTGTAGGACAGGGGAAAGGAGTGCAGGAAATATTCCTCCAGTAAATCTGCCCCGAAGAGCAACACGTGGAAAAGCAGGACATTGAAGAGGATGAAGCACCACTGGTGAGTCCGGAGCCTGCACAGTGTCGGCTGGGGAAGGGAAGACATGGACACTCAGTTCTCCTGCCACTCAAACAAAAAAGGCTTTCCCTCATTTTAAAATATATTTGTGCAAAGCAATCACAACTTTTAGACCGTGGTCTTTGCATTTATTAATTTGAAGCTCTTTTTCTCCTAGAAACTGAAGGAATCTACAGGAACGTACTTCATGTGGCACAGTAACATCCCAAGCTGGGGAGGACATTACCATGCTGTAATTTAGAAGTTTTGTGCATCCATGTGTGGCAATAGTAGGGAATAACTTGCTATTAGTATTTGCTGACTATTTTTCAGCCTGTTGCTGAAGGCCTGAGGTGCTATAGAGGACCTGTCATGGTAATATGTGTCCCTGAAGGAGAACTCTCCTATGGCCTCACACTGCCCTGTGGAAGCTGGCAGGGTAAGAATCCAGGGTGAATGGGGCTTGGAGCAACCTGGGCTAGTGGAAGGTGTTCCTGCCCATGGCAGGGGGTGGAACAAGATGATCTTTAGGGTCCCTTCCAACCCAAACCATTCCATGAAAGCTGTAGGAGGCTGAGGCACTTACCTGCATGGTGGTGGGAGCTGTGCCTGCAGCAGGGGCTGTGTGGGCAGTTCCTGCCTGGCAGTGGCTGTATCTGGGTCTGCAGGATCCAGTTACTGCCCTGTACCTGGAGGCTGTGGCTTCCCCTCACCTGTCCGGGAGGAGGAAAGATGATCCCAGGGGATGATCGTGTTGCAGCTGCATAAAACAAAGGGAACAAACCCCTGGCCTTGCCCTTTATTAATTTCTGATGCTTGGGGTGGGGTCTCAGCAATAAGTGAAGGCACTGCCGGGGCTCACTTGGTAAAAGGGTCCCTGGTACTGCTGGGAAGCTGTTCTTGATCTGCCATTTGCTGCTGGAGTTTGGGGTTGTGTTTTACAGCTGTGCCATTTCGTGGTGGTTCCCCCCAGTCCTTGGCAGGAGACCCCTGCCCTGAGCACTCTGCACCCCCTGAGCTGGAGGTTTGGGGTGTGAACTTGCTTGGGTTTGCCTTAGTGGGGGCTGTGGGGGACACCCCGAGGCTGTGGGTGCTGCTGGGCCAGGCTGTTCCCTGGACAGGCTCCTGCCTTCGGCTGTGCCGGAGTTTCCAGGAGTTTCCATGTGTTACTGTTGGCTCAGGCCTGGGCTGTGCTGGAGCTGACTGGGCTGGGGAGCTGCAGGGGACTGGAAGTGCTGGAGGGGGAAGTGCCAAAGACACCACAAACAGGATGGAGGTGTCAGCAGGGGGGAGAGTTGGGTTTGGCAGAGGGTCTGTGGAGCCTGCAGAGCTCCGAGGGGAGAGGGGCTTGTGGGTCCCCAGGGGATGGTGGCAACGGTGCTGTTTGATGGGGAACTGAGGTGGGAGGTGTCAGTCCTCATCAGCACAATTGGGAACTCCAGTCTCCATGTGGGAGCAAAGAGATCATAATTGCTTTTTGATTTTGGAAAGATTTCTCACAGGTCAGGGTGTGTTTCTGTTCCTGCATCCTTGGGTGAAAGGGAACAAGGAGAACACAGTGTTGCTGTGGTTTGGCTTAGCTCTGACCATTCCAAACCTCCCTGGAGCATCCCTAGGGGAGCCTGGATCAGCCAAATGACCCAGGGAGATGGAGCAGAGCTTTGATTTCTGGCTTGGGGTGTCCGGGGTTAATCCCCCAGCTCTGGCTGAGCCCCTCAGCTCTCCCAGCTGTGTTGGGAAAACACAGGGAGCAAAGGAACTACAGAAGAAACCAGCTCCTCAAAATGTGGTCACAGCTTGGAAGTGCATCCTGCCCCTCTGAAAGACCCCCAAACACATCCCACTGTGCTTTAGGCTTTCCAAAAAGAGGGAAAACTCCTTTCCCAGAGCTTGTGTGTCAGCTGGGCTGCAGCTTCATCCGGAGCAGCCTCACACTCTGCAATCCTCCCAGAGGTTGTGCTTTGAAGCCTGGGGAGCTGAGCTGTCAGCACGGGAAGTGTCAGTTCAGCGTGTGCTCTGAAGGGAGAAGCCAATAAGGAAATACCTTTCATGAACAATAATACAGCACTGCCACCCCAGATGCCCATCCTGGGGGGAAAAAAAAAAAGTCCTCTGGAGATGTTCTGTCTCCAGCTAAACCATTTAATGAGCAAATAAATACTAGTGTATGAAACCCCTTATATTAAAAATTGTGTGCCCTTAGAATAATGATAAAATAATAATTATAAACCCCATATGTGCATCATCCCTGTTGCAATTAGGCCCAGCATGGTGCTTGCAGCGCTGCTCAAGTCGTTTCTTCAGCTCTGCTTTGTGGTGGCAGCAGGAACTCTGATACCACATCTATAAGATTAACACTCCCCAACCACAGCCCAGGCAGCTCTCAGATGTGGGATTTTGTTTATCCACAGAGCCTGGCTGAGTCCCACTGGGAGAAAGCTGAGGAACAGCAAGGAAAAGACTCCTGAAGGGTAAAGTAACTGATCTGGGAGTTCCAGGGAGTCTGCCTGGGGGTCATCCCTCCATCACCTTTAAACCCAGGATTGAGGGAAATGCAACCCACAGCAGCTCTCGTGTGACCTTGTCTCACTTTTCAGATGGGTAAAGTGAAGCTCGTTCAGGGAAATCCTCACTCCCAGGGAGAGCCAAGAGTTTCCTGAAGAAGAGGGAATTCAGGACAGTGGCTGAAGTCAGGTCAGTGGGGGTAGGAATGCTGTTCCTACAGCTGCACTGAAACCCTGCACAATCCTGTGGGTGTAAATTAGAGAAACATCCAGGAAAAGCAGGTTTTCCTGAGCCACAGGGCTATCTATAATTTGCTTTATGTGAGATGTTTTCACGTTGTCCTTGAATTTTATGTCCAAACCAACCTCATTACAGGAGCAGGGATGTACCAGTAACTCTGTAGACAACCTGACCTACCCTAAAGCTATGAGTGTTCAGATTAAAGGATGGTTTGGGTTTTTGGTTTTTTTTTTGAGAGGAAGGGCCCTGAACTCCTGCCATATCCAAAGATCAGAGCAGAGGTGCCAGGAGAGGGCAGTGGGAGATGCTGTGGAGCAGGAGGTGCCCGGGGCAGGCAGGGTGGGCAACGTGCTGAGAGGAGCAGCCGAACCCACAGCTTCCTAAAACATCTCCTAAAGCCTTCTGGCTTCCCTCCCAATGCTGGGAACATTTGGAAGGGGGAGCAGAGCCTGGCTGGTTTCAGTTCTGCTTGACTCTGCTTCGTGGGAATGTGAAGGCTTCGGATGACGCACCGTTCTCAGGAGCTGGTGCAGGAGAGGGTGGATGGATGGAATTTATGGGGAAAATCCAGTGAGAACTGTTTTTTTTCTCAATATAAATTTGTTCAGATATAAAAACTTGAGCTCAACCTGCCTTAGATGTCTGTGTGGTTGTTCTGTGCTGTGCCCTGTCTTTCCCTGCAGGGTGGACACCCCCTGGTTCCCCCAGTTCTCAGGCTCTTCCCAAAAGAGGGGTGGATTCCTACAGGCAGGTTTTCAAATTTTCACTCAACACCTCCTTGCTCCAGAGACAGGTCAGAACCCACCTGCAGGCAGGCAGCTTTTCTGGCACAACATCCCTTTCCACAAGGCATTCCCTGTGCCCTCATGGAGACACTTGTCTTATTTTAAGGCTCAGAGCTGACCAGTGTCATCCCACCAGTCCCCAGAGGGGATGCTCTGGGAACACAAAGCACTCCCAGGTCTCCACAGGGTCCCCACTATTCCAACCTGCCTTTTGCAGGGTTTCACACAGACCTGAGAGCACGAGGGGCTGCGAAGGGACTGGTGTTTAATAACAGCATCAGTTGCAAGAAGCAGAGACGGTTGTTTTGGTCTTAGTCACCTAATGGCAATGTTTGTGCTCCAAGAGATGATTCAGCTCTTGCAGGCAGTTCTTCACCTTACCTTCTCCATGGGGTTTGGGGGATGATGGAAGAGGAGGCTTTGTAAGAGTTCCACAGAGTGTGTTTCACTTGTTTTTGATATTTAATGTCCCTTTGGGTGTTAAATATAAGTAGACACCTGAAAGCCAAGCGAAGGAACCTGAGCACTGACACACCAGACAAACAGCTCCTGGTGTGCAGATGAAGGAGTCTTTGCCTCTGATTTAATGGCTCACTTGATGACACTAAAACAATGTTTTTATAGCCAGGTTCCCTGCATTCTTTTTTTTTCTTTGCATACATCAGTCTCGGAGTTCCAGAGCTGTACCTTTTTGTATGGTATGTTTGATTATTACTTCTTGAGATCAATGACAGCTTTGACAGCTACCTACCTCTGTGTTCCTGGATTGTCACAGCCTCAGCCCCCCATGTGTCTGAAAGTTCTGCTTCAGCCTTGGAGATGCTGAGTTGAACACGAGCTGTGAGTGGAGAGGGCATAAACCTGTGAAAAACGTGGAGCTGTGAGGCCACAGGGCTCCAGCTCTGGGGCTGAGCGGGTTCTCCCCACCAAGATGTCAACTGGAGAGAGAAGTTGTTTATTTTGCAGTGGCCCAGCAGCCCCCCTGTTGTTACTCATTCTCACAGTGTGCTGTGAGGGTGCTTTGCCCTTTCCTTCCCACAAATCCAGGCTGGATTTGTACCTGGCAAGTCGAGATTCCCATGAAATTCCTTTGACAGGCACAACATCCACAGCAGTGCCGGGGGTTTGATTACAGCCAGTCCACGCTCTGACAGCATTTACAGCAGATCCCGTGTCACTGTTCCCGACTCCCCAGCCCCTCTGTGGCTGCCGTGGTGCTGGGCAGCAGCTGAGCCATCTCTCCTGGGCCCTCCTCACCCTGGGGCTGGTGAGGGGTCCACATGTGTCTGTGTGATGCACCCAAAAAGGCAAAGCTGCCCGAGGTCATGGAGGGAAACAGGAGCTGGAGGCAAGTGCTGGGGCTCGAGTGATGCCCCAGCCCGTCCTCTCCAGGTCCTGAGGTGCTGGATGGATCCAGCTGTGCTCCCACTGGTGCCCCAGGGCTGGGGAGGGGGCTGCAGCCCTCCCAGCCATGGCCAAGGCTCCCACTGTTCCCCATCACCCTCTGGCAGGGTGCTCGAGGTTATCAGGGAGCTCAACAGGACAAGGGCACTCTCACTAACGAGTCCCTGGAGCACACGGTGAGCTGGACTCGGGTAATGTGCTGTGCAGAAGATGACTTTCTCTCTCTCCTGTCTCTGACTCATCCCATTTTTGCCACCCACAGATTTATTTATTGCTCTCCCAGACACAGAAACAGCAGAGTTGAGTCTCCCTGCCCTGTGACAGCCCCTCCTCAGCAGTGATCTGCCGGAGCAGCCGGGCAGGCGTTTCCCTGCACTCATCCCTGGGGGGTCTCACACTGGGGGGTTGCCTTTCCCGGGAGCCTCCCCTGTGCTGTTCCCCCAGCCTGGCTCTGCTCTGCAGAACTCGTGTGTTCGCAGGCAGCACATGGTCCTGCAAATGGCACTTGGCATCCCTGGATGTGCCCGTTCCCTGGTGCTGCTCATTCCCTGCCCAGGCGGGACACGGCCCCTCGGGATCTGTGCTCTCCTGCTCTGGGGTGTGGTGGGAATGTGAGGATGCTGAAGGGGTTCCCCAGCAGAGCTCTGGGGACTGAGGGAGTCGAGAGGAGGAGGGATGGTCCTGTAGTAGGTATGTGAAATCCTGGTTAATTGTATTTTGTGTTAATAGGGTGACTTAATTTCCCTCTTTGGGAAAGGATTTGTAGCATCGATGCCATTTGGGAAGCACTGCAGGTGGGGGCAGAGAGGACCAGCTCAGCCAGAGCTGTGCCCCCAAAATGCTGAATGGTGCCTTTGCTGAGAATGCTGCTGTGCCTTCCCCCGCTTCCCCCTGGGCTTTGGGGGTGCAGGGAATCGTGCTGGAGCTGGGAGCAGTCCCCAGGACAAAGGCTCTCTTTGCTGAGGTAGGATCCCACCAAGTGGGAGAGCTTGTCCCTGTGCAGCCCCCCTGCTCCACAAAGGGGCTGGGGTGGCACCAGTGCCCTTCCAGGCCAGGGGCAGGTGGGACCAGGCCCCCCTTCACTGCTCAAGCTCCAGCACTCGGATGGGGACGTTCCCTTCTGGCTCTTTCTCGTTCATTTTTCTCTTTTCTCCCCGTCCCCACCCCCCCGTAACTGTTTTAAATAATTCCTCCCCCACGCCTGTGTTATCACCCAGCATGTCAATACGCTCCGTGCCACCCACCCCCTCCTCCCGGAGCTGCACGTTAACGATTTGCACCAGATAATGTGAGGCAATTAGTGAATGAAGAATAACCTTCCCACTTAAAAGCATGATGGGTCGGGAAGCATCACGCGGGTGGGTTGCACGGGGAGCATTAATTGCTTTTCTCTCCAATGACTCCCAGTGTAGGAGAGCCCATATTGAGAGGGAGGAGGAGTAAGAGGTGCTGCGGGAGAAACAAAGTCTCTGGTCCTGGCGAGAAGCTGTAAAGCCCAGAGCCTGCGAGTGGGCACTTCCCTCTGGAGCGGGGGTTTGTGGCACAGCAGGGGCTGTGGCAGCGAGCGGGCACCGTGTGATCCAAGGGCCGGGGCTGCCGGGAGCAGTGGATGGGCAGGGCGGGGGTATCCCGGGGTCAGGGGGAGGTGATGGGGAGAAACCACCGCTCTGGAAGCAGCTCCAGCCTGAGTGGCGTCACCTCCCTGGGTGTGACTGAAAGGGGCTTTGGTGTTTTGGGTGATGGTGCGCGGTGGGAGCTGCTCGGATTCCAGCTGTTCACATCTGGCCCACGGGAGAGGAGGACACAGTTTTGGGGCACTTTGTACTTGGCCACATCGTTACAGGTGGCACCTCCTGACTCCGGGCACGTGGGGCTGAACTTGGAGGGGAGAGAAGGCACCTTGGATCCACCCCCTTAACCCTTTCCTGGAGTCAGCCGGCTCGTTTCCAGGCGGATCCCGCTGTCCCTGGGCTGGGGCCATTCCCCAGCGGGGCCGTGTTGTTGCAGCAGGGCCCCCCTGGAAGATGAACGCTCCCGGCCCGGGCGCGCAGCACGGAGCAGGAATTCCCCGCAGGCAGCGGCTCGGCCCTTGTTTGCGTTTGGCACAACCCCGAGGCGCAAATATTTGTGTGGGAAGTAGAAAAGAAAACCAAAGGGGGGGAAAAAAAGAAAAAAGGAAATAAAAGAAAAGGA